TCACACACACTCACACACACACACACACACACACACACTCACACACACACACACACACACACACACACACACTCACACACACCCGCACACACACACACATACACATGCACACGTACACACGCATGCACACACACACACACGCACGCACACACACGCGCGCACACATACACGCACACGCACGCACACACACACGCACACGCACGCATGCTGGCCTGCCCTGACGCCATGGAAACATGTACTCTGGCCCATAGAAATAGAATAGAAGTAGAACTCTCGTACGGTCGGCATATGTTTCCATGAACCAAAGTATGCTCGTGACGTGCACTGACGTCACGCACGAACTCGGCTATCTCCGAAGTTGCTGCTGATGGCATATTCCAAACTACGCATATCAACTTCCGCATCAGACTTTCCGTTTATCAAAGAATGATGCAAAAACGCGTAAAAATGCCCTAACCCTAACCCTAACCCCAACCCTAACCCTAACACTAACACTAACTGTAAACCGACTCGATTATCTTATATACTACCCCAGTATGCTACCCTAGTATCCCAAACACTATCTATGGTGTATACATAGAAATAGTATAGATAACCATACTATACTATACTATACTATTTCTATACTATTTATCTATACTATTATTTATTATTTATTTATTATTTATTTATTTAGTTATCTATACTATTTCTATGGGTGTATAGATAGCCACTGACGTCACACTGACATACACTGCTGTCACGAGCATACTTTGGTTCATAGAAACATATGCCCACCCTCTCGTACACAAGCCTATCACTGATCTCTATGATATAATCATTCTAATATTATAATATAATATAAGATTATATTATAGAGATCAGTGAGGCCGATATGCTCTGGCCTTGAGGGAGGCTTCTGATTGGTCGAGAAACCACGTGACAACGCCCACGTAACGTTACGTCACTACCACGTAACCACGTGACGTCACTTCCGACACCACGTGACGTCACGTTCGATGGACCACGTGACGTCACTTCCGGTGGGGATGGGTCGCTTCTGGCGCAATCAGAAGCCTCCCTCAGGGCCAGAGTACAGGTTCCCTACTACTGAGGCTCATAGGGTCTATGTCCCCCAGGGTACTGCCGGAACGTACCCTGGTCACTATTTGATATGGTTAGGGTTAGGGTTAGGGTTAGGATTAGGGTTAGGGTTAGGGTTAGGATTAGGGTTAGGGTTAGGGTTAGGGTTAGGGAGTAGGCGTAGGCGACTCCCTAGACTCGTTAGTGGAGTAGGCGAGGTACGGTCCGGCATATTAGATAGTACCAGGGTACGTTCCGGTATACCGGACCGTAGCCAGGGTACGCTCCGGCAGTACCCCGGGGGACATAGACCCTCTCAGCACTACTGGGGCCTACTCCCCCTGGTAGAGGCCCATTGTAAGTGCATCATATCATAGATATATACAACACAGATATATATATATATACATACATATACACGTATATATCTATGAATGATCATATACACTACACGTACATGTACATGTATATATATATACCCATACATAAATCATATGTATTTAGCACTGATTGCAATGAAACGTAGTGAGCAGTTTGAAATGGGGTCTACGTTTCCCATCTGGCCTGGGCCTATCACCAGCTTTGCACGGGCCACCCACGCAGCGACCCCACGATACAGCCTCATCGCGATTGTTCACTCAATAACAAACTTGTTTAATATGCGCATTAAGTTCCCGCACCACATATCGGATTGCAACCGTATATTTCTCTAGACAAATCTGCTCGGGGTAGCCGCACGCCTCCACTCCGTACTCCTCCACCGGACGCTCGTGGTAGCATTACCTGGTCTTCCGACGATCATTGTTCGTATTTTAGAACCTGGATTAGCTATCTGCATGCAGGCAGCGTTGTTTACCGTCCACATTCAGTGAAACACGCACTTATATTTTAGCGCGCTTTTCTATCATCCGCCTAGCGACCGCAAATGTGTGTAGCGCTTAGTTCACAAGTGTGTGGATTGGATTTAACGAATTGATGATAAGATATGTGGAGTGGTCTAAAAAACAGATCCGTTACAGACTGATATGAAATCGATAAAGTTTCGAATTCTGCGTCGTATGTCTCGGTTCAGAGCATCTAAAGGGCGACTAAAGTGCATAAACACATTTCCGTAAAAAAATATTCACCTGGGCTCTGCGCCCTCTTACTCGAGAATAATTATTATAATAATATAATATTAATAATAAATTTTATTATTACTACTGCTAAGTACTACTACTACTATTGTATAATTATTACAACAACAACAATAACACGCTAATAAACATTTTACATAAATCATATGACAATCGCGGAATAAATAGAGTCGTACCTACATTAAATGTCTGTTTAATGTGGCGCGATAACATGCTATAGTTCAAATAAAGTTTATGGCATGTTGTTTGTATAAAGGTAGGTGCAGGCATGCGTGTACTTCCCATGCAGCTCAACGGACTCGGATTTTCTTTGTTGCACTAGCAACAGCACACCTCTGCCGCCACGTATATCCGACGCTCCTGCTACACTGGCAAGGATACACACAACACAGGTACACATATGGTCTAGACTCTAGACGATCGAGTACGTTATCCTTAAAGTTTACCTTTTAGTTTAAATTAATAATAATAATTAATAATAATAAAACGATTCCTCAATAGATTAATCATAACGATGACAATTTAGGTTAGACAAGCTGCAGTAACCGATTTTCCGCAGTTGTTCGCCAGGATGACTGAAGAATTTTTTTTGCGAACCGACTGCGGACTAAGTCTTCAAACTAACTGATACTGGGACGACGTTAACTTCTTATATGTGCTTTCTTTATGATGAAGTGCTTATTTCGTGTGGCCTAAAGTCCCAGAAAAATCCACCGAAAGATGGACAACAACTACGGGTAATGAGACGAGGTGGTGACGACGTAGTTTGTACCAGGCTGATAATGCATACTGGGATAAATCGCAAAGGAAATTACGCATTTCGAATTGCTACAGTGTCGTAACAGTTTATGCAGACGACGAGCGGATTGCTACATTAGCTGTAGTTCGGCATATATATGCCCCGCGAGCAAGCGACCTGCTAAATAATTATAATTTGCAGGGAACGTCATATAACGTCGTGTTTGCCATGATCTATCATACAGGAATAAAATAATCGACGTTATACTAAACATATTACATATATATTATCTTGGAGTAATCATTCTGATCAGAATGATTACTCCAAGATATTATGTATCATTTAATATACATGTAATATTTTACCACTGTACCTATAATATA